TTTTAATATAATTATAATTAAAGAAAGAAATCCTTACTCAGTCAAACAAGACGTTCCAAAGTGGATGATCCCATCAGACCCAACGTGTTCCGCCCCCACCTCATCAACACAGCAGCTGTGTGACATATCATTGTCATGGAAACGGTTACCATGGCAACACATGCATGTACCTACCTCCCGTATGAAGTGTCCCCGAGTACGAAAAGGTCTTTTTTGCTCTCTCTTTGAAGGATGGAGGATACTTGAACTGATTCATGGAGCATATCATCAGGGAACTGGAGTGTGACCTATTTAGTGAAAGAGTCACGTGACTACACGTGTTATCACGTGGGCGCTAACGGTTTTGTGATCTTTAATAAATTGAAGACATTTCTCTAGCTCGTAGTAGCTCCATATCTCCTCGTCTTGTCTCTTTCTAGAGGAGAGACATGTAGCACCATTCCCTTTTACTTGCTCTTTGACTTCAAGAGATCTCGCCATTTTATTTTAGTTAACTAACTAACTGGTAGTTAATCTACTGGTGGTTAATTAACCATCAGTTAACTAACCACTAGTCAAATAACTTGAAAGTAATTTCCAAAAATTCCTCTGTCCTAATAAAAAGAGACAGTTGCTGATAGATACGGTTTCTTCTATGCCCCCATAGGGCCCACGCTTCATTAGTAGGATCTGATCCGTCAGTCAAAACTGTAGCTGCAGAAAATAATCTTTCTTCTTCTTTGACCTAGTTCTCTTTCATTTATTGGCTATACTGCAGCCCTGTTGGGGCCTCTCTTTACCCAACCATGAGTAGCTATGACTCGTACGAAGTCTCTGTACAATACATTGATGACAGTGACCCGTTTAATGTTCTTGGTACCATCAAACATGCCGAACCATCTCCTCCATTGAAGTACAGCTTCGTCTCTGATATACCGCTCTGTGATCAGATAGCAGGGCTCAAGAAAATGCTCAAGGCGCCACACAAGGTATGTGATTCGTGTCCAGTTGGTGATGGGCTTGTTGTGTGTTATCGCATTTGTGTGTCTTGTCCTACACAATTTTGAAGTGAGAAAATGGCTCACTATTATTCACAGCTGCTCTTCAAATCCCTGCTAAACAACCTAACAACACTGATTAGCTAATGAGCTTTTAAAGTATAAAGTAATTTTGTTATACATAATGATGAATTTTTAATTTGTTTGATTTTAAGAGTTCTTTTTATCAGCAGCTGCAGAACTTAAAGTCTGTTTTTGGTTTTGTAGTTTCTTCTTGTTTGTGACTAATAGTCTTGTCTTTCTCTCTCACCGTACACACACACGTACATGAACTTCACAACATAAGTACACATGATCCTACATCTGCATACATGAACCTTCTAATTATTACAAATCAACAAAAGTTCACTTTCTGATCGTGTTTCTCTCTTCCTCTCTCTCTCCTCTCCCTCTTTGCCTCTCTGTCTCAGTTTATGCAACTACAAATAGAAAATTTAAATCTAATTTGTACTTAGCTTTGTATTGTACTGACACACGTAATTACTCTCTCTTTGTAGTTGGTACTAATATTATTATCCATGTCCTCCATTAAAAAGTCCCCTTGTTATTCTGATGGCATACATCATGTCACAGTAGTGCATGTAATAGCAGGAAACTTGTAGTGTAGCACTAATGATAACATATTTTATTTTGTGTAGTAGTGGTGGTAATGTTTCTTACTTTACTACACAATGAACATTTGATCTTTAAAATTACTACCACTACTACTATGTGTTAATATGCGCTTTGTATTCCTTCTGTTTGTCTGTCCTTTCTCCTCTCTCTCTCTCATTCATGGTCTGTTTAAAGAACTCACATATTCTCTATCATAATAAATGAATGGCTACATTATAGAGATAACATGTTTACCTTCTGCTCCTTTGAGTACACATGATACACACACTCTCTCTCTAATTCTTATCTGCTTCTTGTTTGTATGTAGTATGGTGACCTCCCTTCTCCTTGGGAAGGTTTTGCCACCAATTAGTGACTATTCCAACTCACAATAAACAAGTCTGCCTACTGATTGAGTGATGATTAATTGAGTCTACCTTTGAAGAATTTTTAAAATATAAATCTACATAAATATACACTAACATTCATACTTTACATGTTAAAAGTTTTTATAACCTGTATAGACTAGCTGATCATTTATTTATTTATTTATTTATTTGTTTGTGTTTCTCCATGTTGCATGTGTTGTTACTGACACTTCTCATGTCAAGCAGTATCTACATGTACATGTACATGTATCTACAAGCAGTAATAATGAAAAACACTTTAGTATTCAAATCACTCTTAAAAGTCATGTACATGTACATTTACATGTTCATAATGTCTCATTTACATGTACACATG